GAGAGGGAGACCAGAGAGGGAGACCAGAGAGAGAGACCAGAGAGAGAGACCAGAGAGAGGGAGACCAGAGAGGGAGACCAGAGAGAGAGACCAGAGAGAGAGACCAGAGAGGGAGACCAGAGAGAGAGACCAGAGAGGGAGACCAGAGAGGGAGACCAGAGAGGGAGACCAGAGAGAGAGACCAGAGAGAGAGACCAGAGAGAGAGACCAGAGAGAGAGACCAGAGAGAGAGACCAGAGAGAGAGACCAGAGAGGGAGACCAGAGGGGGAGACCAGAGAGAGAGACTAAGAGAGAGAGACCAGAGAGAGAGACCAGAGAGAGAGACCAGAGAGAGAGACCAGAGAGAGGGACCAGAGGGGGAGACCAGAGAGAGAGACTAAGAGAGAGAGAACATAGTCACTCTATCACAACATCTCACAGGGATTCCAACATCCAGATACATGTTTTCTAATGAGGGGAAGACAGCATGTTGTGGTCTGATAAGTTCACAGGGCCTGGTTAGTGCTGTGATGGGAGACCTCTGGGTACACCCCAGTGGGCAGCTTTAAAGTGCCCAACTGTTTTTGTGTCTTTAGGCAAGACACTTCACCCACATTAGAATGGTGGGAGGGGTCGGTGGCAGAGACAGTTGTGGCTACAGTAGTAGTATCCATGTATCCTTGATACACACTAAATGTAGTTGTACTAAAGTTGAAAAATGTGAAGACGATGAGAAAGTCTGGGATCGTGTCTTTCATTCAGACAGAAGACATGTTTTATTGTCTATGGTAGAGACGCACAAACAACACGAACAACGGATGTTACGACTGCAAGTGGTGATATACTCAGGAGAAGCAGAGACCTCCAATCAGCAGCTGCCACAGTGCAGCAGAGAGAGTCAAAACATGAAGTGGAAAAGTACAGGCTTCTGCACATTGACAGAATGATGAGTTTAACTTTAACAAAAGTTGCTTCAAAGTGTTATGAAATCTCACACATGTATAAACATCTTTCTAAAATGTGCAGGAATCCTGTATTAGTGAGAAGTGCTCGTATTATTATAACGATTACATTTTAAGTTTTGGTTATACAATCTTTCTGTTTCAGGCTGATCCATGGCTCCTCCAAGAAAGCGCTCGCT